AAAGGTCCCTTCCCACCCAAACCAGCCTGATTCTTCCATGAAGAAAGAGACCTCAACACCTAAGATGGAACTAAGACCTTTTGCTTTTCAAAATGCTTCATTTTTAAAGGAAACCCTTTATACTTTTACAGTGCCTACTTCTAACACTCTACATGGAGATTTACCATCTTCTGTGCAAATTCCTTTGTATTTGACAATGTTCTCATGATAAAGATTCCTCAAGATTTCTATTTCTTTCTTGAGATCAGCGATGTGATTCCCTCCACTCTCGGGCTTCAGAGACTTCACTGCCACTTGCTCCCCAGTGTTGTCACCTTCTGGGTCGTATCTGCAGAGTTCAACCTTGCCAAAGTGGCCCTAGTTGTAGAAGGAAAGAGAGAATTCATGAACACAACACTCACTCACCCATGTCAGTGGTGGAGTTTTTTAGGGATTTCGGATTCAGACCTCCCTGCGGTGACACCAGACCCACACACAGACACTTCTCTGTGTTCTGCTCCAGCATTCCTCTTACCTCTCCCAAATCACGGATCCTCTTCAAGAATCTTTTCTCAAAGAGAGTGGGATCGACCTCTGTAACCGGCTTCTTCTCCGAGATGATGTCGGGATCTGGAGCGGGGAAAAAGTCCCAGGTCAGACAGACTCCTACAAGGACACCTTGGTCTTGTCACTTCAAGGCATCTTTGCTCACTTCCAGCCTGCTGCTCTTAAACTGTGTCCACCCCAACTGTCACAATTCTCCTTATTTAAATCCTGCCTGTTTTCTGGCCCTGGATCCCCTCCATTTGCCCATGCCAGCCTATCACTTGCTCACCTTCCTCCCACACTTTGTGAGTTGCTCGCTGGGTTTCCTTCCAGACTGACTCAATTTTCTCTTGGTACACTTCCCACCTTGTAGAAGTTACTCAGCTCCCATCATTATTTATTACTAGGTATGGGATGTAAAGTTTTGCCCTTGATTGATACCTATTAGTTGCTCTGTGGTAACTTCAGCATAAGGTGAACCAGGAACCAGATCTACGTCTGCTTTGGTCAAGAGAGTCCTATGGGAATCTCATGGAGATCAAAGATTGTCTTGAAACTAATTTAAACTGATAGAGACCATCAAATGAAGTAGCAGTGAGACAACACAACTCCAGCCACATG